TTCTCCATTTACACTACAACTACGAGTTGAGAGCTAAAAAAATCTGCCACCAGAATCTCTTCTAATCTGCTTCCCACCCTGCTTCTCAAAAAAAAAAAAAACTCCACCATCAAGGAGTGAAGCTCAATAATCAGGAAGTGGTATTTTATCAAACTGGCCTTACTTTTGCTGGAGCAATTGTCTTAGGTATCACGAAGAGATAAAATTCATGAACATTCTAACATAAACAAATATGGGGAAAACACCACATACAAGAAACTACAGGAAAAGGTGTTCATTTATACAATTAAAAAGCAACATAAGTATATACACTTTTTTTAGGGAAGCCATCTGGCGCACTTTATTGATTTAAAAACAGAATTACATCGTTCACCGGGGCCTCAATAATGAAGCTAGGGGTTCATCAACCCAAATACATGAATTCTTTTACTGAATAGCTAAACTCGCTAAATTGTACGCTACTCTATTGATGATATACAACTACAATGGATCATCTATAGCTATGCTTGTAGGGTTGGTTGATTACTGAAAGAAACCAACAATTTCCACGATTGATGCAAGCTACATTTCCATTCATAACCTGAAATTGAAACACAAGGAAGAGAAACATGAAACTAAAAGTGTAGAAATCAACGAGGGATCAAGTGTGTACAAAAAAGAGCAATATAAAAGGGGTTGTGAACGTGGAAAGTGAAGGAAGCTACTTGAATTCAAGGCTAGGAAGAAGGTCTAGAGCAGTTTAGGGGGGGGGGGGATGTCGTCAAACTCCACACAATTATTGTGGGCAAGTTAGAGCATATTCGAAGACTTCAAAATAATAACTCCCTGATTTAGTTTTTTTTTCGAAAAAAAAGAAATAAAAAAGACTCTACAACAGTTCTGTAAAACAACTTTCAAATATAGGCGCTTAGTAAATCTGCCACCCAACTCGCAAATATGTCCGTTCATTCTTATGTTGCGCATCCATCAGACTCCCCTTGTTCTTGGCATGATCATTCGTTTACTGAGTGACTTAGCTTGGAGACGCTCTACAATCGGGTTCGGCTCCATGCTTCTCGTTCCCGATTCAACGAAATCCCCTAAGAGCATCTCTAAGAGTTTCCAGAACTCACTCCCAATCTTGATTTTTTGGCAAGATTGAAAAAAGCACTCTCCAACAACTTCTTATCTCAACTTTGAATCTTCTGTACTTGATAAAATCGATCCAATCGCGTGAAAATATACGGGCACGTATCAATCAACCAATCTAGAGGAGAAGTGCATGGGGAAGAATAAGATCGAGTAGGGACAAAATTTCCAATGCAAATGTACAGACGAAAAACAATTATAAAAGTGGTGGGGTGATTTGAAAATAGTTTGAGATTCCTCGTACAAAATTGACTTCTATTTTTTAGACCGAGATTTTAAAAACAGCTGGACAAAGCTAACAAATATGCTCTTGTTGGACGGACTATGTTTCCACGGGTTTTGCCAATTGGCCTAGCGAGCTGGCGTTTTCTGGGTTAGTGGGCCGGAGCGGCCTGGAATACGTTGGAGAGCAAACATTGTTATTGGACCCAGGACGGACATGTCCGGTTTCACGCTTTTTAATCCAGTAACTGCACCCGTTTTGAACCTAAATTATCGAACCAATCCGATAATATATATATGAAAAAAGTCCACATTACATCTCTCAATTTTCGCAAATATCCGTTTTTCCTGCCTGAACTCCAAAACCGGATAAAACATCTCCCTTAACATTTTAAACCGTTCATCTTACCTCCCTGACCCTATTATAAGCAGTTTTGAAGGCGGTTTTGTTTTTTTCTTATTTATTTATTTCGGCTGGATCTTTAAAAAATCATAGTAAATCATAAAAAAATCATAAAATAGAAAATCTAATTTTGTTGGACTTCACATGAGTAGATCTACACAGTGAACATATAATATGATATGCTTTAGTACAAAGCTTTTTGCTGTGGCTTTAGATTTATGTTTTTCTGTAATTAATTAGAATAATTCATAGCTGCAGTTTCTATTGTACAATTATGATGAAAGTTTTATGGTGGGCTACTTATTGTATGATTGAATTGTAGTAAAAATTTCATACTCATTGGATCATGTATACCTTAGTTATGAATTTATTTATATTTAATAAGCATAAACCTAAATAAAATATATAACTAAGTTATACATGATCCAATAAGTATGAAATTTTTACTACAATTTAAACATACAATAATTAGCCCACTATAAAAATTTCACCACAATTGCACCATACAAACTGCAGCTATGAATTATTTCATTTAATTAAGGAAAAACATAGATCTAAAGCTACAGCATAAACTTTGTACTGAAGCATACCATATTATATATTTACTGTGTAGATCTACTCATGTGGAATCCAACAAAATTGGATTTTCAATTTTACCAAAATAAATAAAAAAGAAAAAGACAAAACTGCCTTCAAAACCGTTTATAACCGGACTAGGGAGGTAAGATGAACGGTTTTAAAAGTCGAGGGAGGTGTTTTGCGTGGTTTTGGAGTTTAGGGAGGAAAAACGGACTTTCGCGAAAATTAAGGGAGGTAATGCGGACTTTTTCCTATGTATATTGTTCAAAAATCACAAAGTCGAATCAAAACACAAGAAAGGTGAAGTTATGTTTAGAAAGATCCCAAAAAAACGCAAAACTGATCATTATTTCATATAATTTGCATATGCTTTGAAAAACTGGAAGAGATTGCACGAAATACATACCCGTAGGAGCAGTTCAATCACATATATATATTGTTCCGGGTTTACAAATCATACGACAACCAAATTTTGGGGGTGAAATCACAAAATTATTTGCCAAAACGACACCAACAAATTATAAACAAGAAAAAAAAAAGATGCTCTGGTGATCGGTGACGGGCGGGCCGGGGAGAATGGAGAAATGCCGGACGGAGGATCGGAGGTAATTAACGGAGCCACGCACAATCCCAGGGCGTGGGGACTAAAAAAAATTGCGTGCGTATAGAGACTGCTAAATGCTGGCGGTCGTATCGTTGCTGCTGGATGCTCGAACCGTGGACAGGCAGGCGGGAGGTTGAAGCAATCCATTTACAGGCCTTGCTCTAGGAGGTAGTCGCCGAGCCTCTCGACCACCATGTTGCACTGCCCGGGGGTCATGGGCTCGTCGTAGATGCCGATCACCAGCGCCTGCCCGGTCTTCTTCACGGTTATGCCTCCAGATCCCTGGAAACCAAAGAAAAGGGGATACCTGTGATCAGGAGCGAGATCGATCGGCGGAGATATAATCGAGAGGGCGGTGTATCCGGCGACGGACGGATGGGTACCTTCTTCCCGCGGATGACGGCGCCGGGCTCGCCTTGGATGACCATGTACTTGGTGGGGCCGAGGAAGAGGCCGGTCGGGGCCAGGAACCCGGGCTCGTCGAAGTCCTTCATGATGTTGGCCATCTCCTCAGGCTTGAACTGCATCACGGCGGCGAGCCATCATCATCATGCGCGCGCAGAACGAAACCGCGTGTCAGCCGTACCGTACGCGACCGATCCGATCGGCGGTGCGCCGACGCAAGAGCGAGAACGAATAAGGAAGGAACGAACGAGCAGAGGCGCGCTCACCTGCGGGAATGCGGTGCTCTGGGCCCAGACGGTGCCGTCGTGGCCGATGATGGCGGCGGAGGTGAGGTGGTGGCCCTCGATCTCGCACATGAGGTGCTCGTCGACGTACGTCTGCCACGACATCCTGTCCGGCCTTGTTGTTGCTGCTCAGCCGCGACCTGCAAGGAGGAGGAGGATGACGACCGGCGGTGGAAGCTTGATCGATGTCTCTGGTGGGAGGAGCGAGCGCTCACGTACGCAGGTGTGCCGGGGGACGGCCGCGGTATAAATAGAGGCGCGGGGGGACCGCGGCGTGGCGGAGGACTGCATCGCCTGATCGCCACCACTTGGCTGGCGTCCGCGCCCAACCACCCGTTCCATCGCTAGCTCGCCCTTCAACCTCGCCCCCTCCTTTGGTGCGCCACCGCCAGCGCCAGAGGGATGGACGACGTGCGAGATACCGCTGGACGCCGGGGCCCCTGCAGCTCAACTCGTACTGCCCGAGTGGCTGGCGGGCCATCAGAATCTCACTTTCCAGCCTCTCTGCACGATGCCCCCGGCCCCCACCCTGGCCGAAAGCACCCGCCAAGCTGCTGCTCCTGCTGGGGGCTGGGCTGGGCATCCTGAGACCAAAATTTTCGATATCCCAGGTTTTATCTTCTTGTTAATCTTAATCCCTCCTTGCATGTTTTCTCCCTACCTGATTTCTGATGCATTCTGGAAGAGTGGGGAAATGAGCTTCTTCTTTTTTCTTAGAAACTACCGCCGTGTCAACATTCAACAATTATCATGAGCCTAATTAAAAATCAGGCGGTTTTTCCCCCTTTCAGTACTCCTTCAAGCTTGTATCACTGAGACATCGCTGCTCGTGAACTTACCGTGCACATCTCTACTACATAGTCTACATCTAGCCTATTTTAAAAAAAAAAATCATTGACAACAAAGAAGCATGAAAACATCTATACAGCTTAAAAGGATGCATCAGATTTCAGAACACGCATATAGAAAATAATAATGAACTCCAGGACCTCTCTTGACAACTGACTCCGGAGCTTTTCTGCAATCCAATGATGGTCCAGCTGCTCCACAGGGATTTGGCAAAGTACTCCCCACCTTAACATTTTCATCCACGCATCCAATAATCCATTGATGGTCCATGCTCGGAAAAAGAACTTGCTAGCAGCAATATATTCTCACATGCTACCTACCATAGTAGTTCAGAAAAAGAACGATGCAACACGAGATAATGCAAAATGCAGCGAGGATGAGAAGAGAACCGAAAGACAGCAGAAGAGGATATCAAGTTCTTAATGCCAGCTGATATATATTGTCTGCGCGACGATGTACATCTTAACTGACCAAAGAATTCCTACAGCATAATATGCCTCTCTACTAGAATACTACTACTACTAGTCTACTGCTCATGGCAAAACAGAAAATCACTGGCTACCAGCATTATGCAATCTGGCAATTCACCTTTCATCTCACATCTGAAGAGGCTAGCTGGAGCGTTTCCATAGATCACAGCATAACTGCAGCCATCACAGGGGCCAGCATGGGGAGCAAAGTGGCCAAGCATTTGGCGCATGGAACTGGACCTGGACCGGAGTTGCTCTGAGCTGGAAGAGAAGTTGAATTCATCGTGCTCATCTTATTGCTTCAAGTTAGAAGAAAAAAAATGTTAGTGGAGTGTCACTGGAACTGTTTCTTAAAATACAAAGGAGTGAGAGAGTATTTCATACCCGGCAGCCAAATAGACACAAGTGTCGTAACCTGCAAGCCAGAAATAAATAAAGCAAAGAAGCTTATTAAATAAATTGGTAAGCAAAAGGAACATGCATTATTAATAGAGCTTATTGAAGGAACACACAATAATCTATTCTCATGCCAATCAATAAGCTACACTGAAATAATCGTTGCAACATTCTATCATCAAAATTTTCATTGTTTCATATGCATGATAAGAGAAGAAGTTGATCAATCCAAGACTAAGTGTCAAGTAAACTATAATAAGTTAAGAAAGTGAGAAAATTATAGCATCATCAGTAACTCACATGTCTTTTCAACACTTGAAGAGTTACTGGAATGCCATCAAATTTGATAACATATGAATACGAGGGGAACAGACACTGCTTATGCCAGTATTCAGAACCACAATGATCTATGCAAGATGCAATGGAGAAAAACAGAAATCACAAGCTGAGAAAGCAAACTCACAATTGCAAGTAAGCTACTGTTCTCTCATAGACATATACAAATATAGCCTAATAGCACCTCATCAATATGAAATTAGGTACTCCCTCCATTCCAAATTGTAAAATGTTTTGGTTTTCTAGATACATAGTTTTCTGGTAATGTATTTAGAAAAGCCAAAACGTCTTACAATTTGGAACAGAGGGAGTACTAGTAAATGCTACAACCATCATACCATATGAGCAGCTTATGTATATAACTGCAACATCAACTAAAGACAAACTCCATACCCTAATTATATGCACATGGATGTTATCAAATGAAACCAAACATAGCATCATGACCATCATAACAGTAACAAGGATGGGATTCTTACTCGGATCTTTCGTCGTTCGTATTCCCGCACCACCAAAGTCACAGGCCACAACGTTGGCTCCATTTTGCTGGTAGTAGCTATTGAATGCATACGAAGCATGGGAAGCTAAAGTGTCCGGCTGGTAGCAAGGTTGGCTTGGTTGAATGGCAGAGCAATCTACGTTGCCTGGACCACATGCCCAGTTGAGGGCATTCTGCAGATCTGTTTCTGATGCATTAGTTGAAGCAATACACCAGGTACCATTTGCACTTGTAATGTTTGCTCCAGTCATAACATCCACATTGCCTCGGCCCGTCCAATCAAGGCTGTAGATAGAGCTCTTATCAGGAAAGAACAGTCCCCAGTTCCTCTCCGACTCGATGCCAGGTTTCCTATTCTCATTGAACAATGAAAATATGTAGACATCAATTTCTTCCCCTGGTTTCGCCGGTGTGCCACTGTCATTAACAACATGACGTATCAAATTGGTATTGTAAGTCTGAGCATTGTCTGGAGTGGCTCCAGTTTCCTTGGCTGCCCCTTTGTTTGGCCACCCTGACTCAGTGATCATGATCTTCAGAGTCTTGAAGTGCAGAGCCATGAGCGCAAAGAAGATGGAATCAACCTGGGCATCGAACATGTTGGTGTAAACCAGTCCAGTGTTTGGGTCAATCACATCCTGAGACTGTGGCGAGAACAGGGCGTAGTTGAGGGACACATTGCTTGGTGAGTTCTGGTACGCATAGTAGGGGTATAAATCCACCATGAATGGCGCCTGATTCTCCACAAGGAACTCGAGCATAGGCTTCAAGAAGTAGGCGTAGCTGCTGTTGAACGCCCCAGCAGACGGCGGGAACGACCGAGACAGTATCCCGAGCGAGTGCGTGCTGGAGATGGTTATCTTCTTGTGCAGGCCGGCCTTCTTGAGTGCGGTGTGCACATTGCGCATGGCTGGCACGACGAGGGCGGAGACGTTGGTGGGGCTCTCGGTGAGCTCGGCGCCGACGGTGATGTAGGTGATCATGGTGGCCGGGTAGTAGGGGAGGATGCTGTTCTTGAGCCACGTGTCAACGTTGGACTGGTACTGCGCGAAGGCGAGGAGGTCGGAGTTGGGGACGCCGACCATGAGCTCGACGCCGGTGTTGGCGAAGGCCTTGATGACGTCGATGTTGCTGTCGTAGATGCGCACGTACTTGATGGACTGTTGCTGGATTAGCTGCGCCACCTTGTCCGGCGCCGGCAGGTCGTCGGCGTTGCGGCCGTAGCAGACGCCAATCTTGCCGCCGTGGCATTGCCCTGCGATTGCGCATGTACTGTTTTGATTACCACCAACGCGAAAAGAGAGAATGCAGTGATTGGGCTTTAAAAGTTCTTTTTTTTTTGTAAATACAGCGATAAATCTTCGGTTCTGGGTTTTCGATGGAAAGAAAAGAATATGGTGCAGGGATGTAGATTCAAAAAAGGGAGGAAGCAATGAAATGGAACATCCCCCTAAAAATGCTCAAGAACACGCAGCAGAACATCAAGACCAAAGAGCAAGAAGAATCGAATCGTGTCCTTTTCCTCGAGCAAGCAAGGCATCTCGCCGTCCACGCATTGCTAACAACACTAACAAGTGCGCGACTGAAGCTGAAGGGTCGTAACATTGAAGAAAGACAGGCTACTTGCAACTCACCGACGAGCAAGAAGAAGAGGAGGATAGGGAGCGCCAGCCTAAGCCGCCCCGCCATTGCCGACCAAGCGCCGAGCCCTGGCACCGGCGCCACTTCTAGCCCTCGGCGTCCGCACTCGCAACGGTAATGCGTGGATGGGCTCCACGGCCGGGGCCTCACCGTTGGGAGGAGAGGTCAGACGTCAGAGGTGGAGAAAGAGAAAGAGAGCCGGAGAGGGGAGGAGTGAGAGAGACCGAGAGAGTGAGGACAAGACGAGACAGGCAGGGCACGGGAGCACGGATGACGAGAGTGAAGTGCGTGACGGCTGTTGCGGGTGCGGACGCCAGCCGGGGGCTATGAAATGGAGCTGAGGGCGTTTAAACAAGGCCGGCTCAAGTCCGGAACGCAACAGAAGAGAAACGGAAGGCCGAGGAGTAGAAAACGGAATGTCTGCTGGTAGGGAGGTTCTCGCATGGACCAGGACCACACGAACACAAGGGGACCCACATGTCAGTTGGGGGCCTGTAAAAATGTCTTTGTACGATGAGAGGTCGTACTATATTTATATTGCTTATAAAAAAATGCAAAGCATACAGTTTGGTTTTTTTTGACCGATTGTAGTTTAAGCTGCAGATGTCCAAAAATACGAGTACTCCGTACAAGAATCAAGATGCAAGCCTCAGAGATGTTTGCATACTGCGAGTGTGCATTACGGCACGTTTAGTTCGTGAAATTTTTAAGTTTTGCCTATTGTAACATTTTCATTTGTATTTAATAATTAGTGTTTAATTATGGACTAATTATGTTTGAAAGTTTGTCTTGTGATTTCTCATTCAACTGTGCAATTAATTTTTTTTCGTTTATATTTAATACTCCATGCATGCGTCCTAAAAATTCGATGTGACGAGAAAAACCAAAAAATTTTGGAACTAAATGCGATTCTTTAACAGAAGTGAAACGACAAGAGCTGAGAACGAAGCAGCGTTTTTTGTGAAAAGCATAGACCCGGACTTTGGAGGCGGCTTTGCGTACCAAAGAGCCTGCAACTTTATGCTCACGCCGCAAATTCATTGGCCGTTAGTTTCGCTGAAAAAACAAGTTGAAATACTGTTCCGGCTGATTTGTTGTGAGAGAAAAATATTGTTCTGATTGAAAAACAAACTAAAAAATACGGATTATAAAATAAGTGAACAGGGCTATTTTCCCGCCTAGTTTTTAGGTAATTAAGGGAGTGTTCGGCTGGTATTATTCTGACACTGTTTATGCTTGAATTTACTGTTCATGCTAAAATGTTGTGAGAGAAAAACACTGTTTCAGCTAAAAAAACAAACCAGCCAGCCGAATATCACCAGCGGAACAAGCTGTAAAAAGCTGGCAACATTTCACAAACAATAATTAGCCTGCAACATACTACCATCCGTTTTGCTATGTTTTTTCATGATCTCAAAAATAAAGATCATGTTCATACAACTGGAAAATTTAGCTGCTGATGCTGATGTTATTTGTTACGAGAGAAAAATATTATTCGTTTGTTGAAAAGTACAGTTGAAAAACACGTAGTTAAAATCTTTATCTTCATCATAAAGTATAAATATACATGGCATTAAACTATTGAAGAACTGTAGCGGCGTACTCACAATGTCGAAGACAAGTGAACAGGAGCATATACCTGCGTTGTCTAGGAGTACGTGGATAGTCTGTCCAGCACGGCGGAACGGGGAGCACACTGCACACCAGACCGGTCACCGAGGCAATGACAGCGACAGGTCGCATCGGCAAGCGCACCACGCTGCGGGGCCCTTGCATCGGTAAAGCTGGCGCCGTGCTCTCTTTCTTGGCTTGTTGCGCCATTGCCGTTTCTCTTCCTTTCGAGAACGCAGGTGATGGAACTCCGCGCCAAAGAATTTAAATGGCGCACGCAGTGACGCAGACGCAGCTGCTTTATTTTTCCCATCCGAGCCTGAGTGTTTTTCTTTCACACTAAATTAGTCCAGCAATAAATAATTCACGATACGATATGGCCTCCCAAACAGGCTAGAAATTAAAATAAAAAGTTTATCTTTAGAACAAGTATTTCTCTACTACAGACAGGATTAGTAGGGACAGCTAGTGAGGCTTTGTAGTGAGGCTTTGTACCGTCCTTATCATACAGTCTCTACAAATCATATATTTGTAGCACGGTTCCCAGACCGTCCTTATAAATCGATTTGTAGGGGCAGCTGTAGTACCAACCGCCCCTATAATACCTGTTTATAGAGACGGTTCAGTTTAGAACCGCCCCTATAGTATATTTTTTCGCTAAAAAAAATTCAAATTTATAATTCAAATTCGACCGAAAACACACACACATATATATATACATATATAATTCAAATCTGACCACAAGCACAAAAGTATTATATAAACTACCATTACAAGTCCAATTCATAAGAATATATACAATCCATCATTAAATATACAAAATTCACAAGTCTAACTCGTTCCACAAGTCCAAACCGTCCCACAAGAAAAGATCAATATTAAATTCTATACATATTGTTATCAACGGCCTAGAGCTAGCCTTTCAGTCTCACAAAGGTGTTGACACTGATGATTTCTATCTAAGTCAGAATCTCGTTCATAGTAGGTGCCTTTGACGTGTACAATCTGGTCCAATATAAGGTTGCAAAGGTCGTCGACGAACTCTAAGAGTTGGTCATCCTTGTATGGTTTTTTTTATTTCTTTCTCTTCTTTCCACTATAAGAGAATAAGTTTCGGTTTAGTATTTCATATCATGTGTGAAGTTTTTATACTACGGGTGAAGAGGTTCAAACTTACCCTTAAGGGGTGTCTCCTATAGGCACCGGTGTTACTCATCATAGAACATACATAGTATCCATAATGTACACTCATAGGCTTCTGCTTGGGGCACTGTATGTTTTGCATATGAAAATATTAAGAAATGCTTTTGACAGCCATGTAATGGAGTACTAAAGTAAGTTACACTTACCGCACATAGCAACAAATCATTAGTCAGAATGCACCTAAAGTAGCAACGTCATCATACAGGGCAGTCAAACACAATCTAAATCGTTATGGTAACTTCCAAAAATAAACCTGGGTGAGCCAACAAGCGAGAAAATGCTTCTAAAGCCATCATGTTCTAATTTTTAGTGGTAATCATACATGGTTCTCAAGCCTTATATATCAATCGCAACCAATGGGCAGAAGAAAATGGTGACCTATCAAACTGCACTTGCATAGCAAAGCACATAGATTTGAAAATTTTCATCAATAACAAATTCCTAACACCACAGTACTGCATTGTGATTTCGCACGCAGATGAGGAGAATCCAATAGTAAAACCCAAGTATAATCCTACATAACCATGGAGTGCCACATTTGAGCATCACCAGCGGCAAAATGGAGCCATCATCCCTTGTTTTTTCGACCAATAAAAGCGCTGCAAATCTTGCCGCTAGAGCAACAATCGAAAGTGAAGCCGCCCGCAAGCTAATCAGATCAGGACCAAAACACTACTCGGGGATACCAAAAACCTAACCCGAGCCAAGTCATCCTAGAAAACAAGCTCACCAGGTTTCTCTTCTCAAGGAAGTAGTCCGTCTCGGACTTGGGCTTGGGCTTGGGCTTGGGAGCAGGGACGTTGGGGCCATCGGCGGAGGTAGCGCGAACACCGGACCGCACGGCGGGTACCAGATCCGCCGAGGAGGGAGCAGAGACACCGGGGCGCACCGGCACCGGGGCCGCCGGTGGAGGGAGAGCGTTAAGTGCTTGTTTTAAGTGCTAAGTGCTTGTTTTAAGTGTTTCAATAGTAGTCCAAACATGTTGCAGTAGTAATAAGTGCCTGTTTCAAGTGTCTATATGTTACAGCTATTTTAGTAGTAATAGAGTGGATGTTGCAATAGGTTCAATCTCTAGGGTGTTGTCATAAAATTTAAAGAACAATTTGCTGCGGTACTTGTGACTTGTCTTTAAGAAGCGCCGGTTCCTTAGATAAACTATCTTCTTGAATGCATCCAGGAACACCCATGTAGTACCATCCAAGCAAACTAAGCATCCCGTCTTTCCTTTGATCTGTCCAGACAAAACAAATAGTGTGGGGTAATCATTGGTAGTAACAAATATTATTGTTCTACATATGAAATCCTCCTTTCAGAATGTATCATACATTGGCTCCCCATGCCTCCATAGCCTCTCCATTTCTTGCATCAAAGGCTCGAGGAACACGTCTATATCAATGCCTGGTTGTTTAGGGCCAGAAATAAGAATAGTGAGGAGAAGGTACTTTCTCTTCTGACACAACCACGTTGGGATGTTGTATGGTCAAGATCACTGGCCAAGTGATGTGGTCGCTCTTCCTCTCATTGAAGGGATTTATTCCATCGGTGCTCAAGCCAAACCGTACATTCCTTGGATCATCGCTGAATTCTTTGTGCTTCTCATCGATCCTTTGCCACTGACTACAATAAGCCGGGTGTGCAATCTTATCATCATCCACCTTGCGTTCATAATCCCACCATGTCATGAGTGCGGCTTCTTTAGGGTTTAGAAAGATACGTCTCAAGTGGTCGGTCACTGGCAAGTACCACATTACCAAGGCAGAAATTCTTCTCTGTTTTACATCGTTGCCTAATGGAGTGTCCTCTGAGGGTTGAGATTCTTGTACCAACTTTTTCGTTAAAATAACCGTTTCACCATGATAAATCCACACTGTGTAGTCCTCAACAAATTCTCGTATAATCAAATGTGATCTGATGATAGTCACATCTATCCATGCCATACGATTCTTGTAATCTTTACAGGGACAAATAATTGTATCCTTATTCTCTGTCAACGTCGTTGCATGCTTCTCTGCGGCTTCAATAAATTTATCCACCTCTTCACGGAAACCTGCCTTGAACCTTAATAAACCATACATCCAAGAGTTCCTATACTCCATCTTTTACAACAACAACAACAAAAACATTAAAGGACTACTTATTCGAATATATATAAAAATAAATCAAATTAATAATTACTTGAGAATAATTATATATACTTCAGATATATATGAATATAAATCAAATATAATTACATA